TCTTGAGGTTGCGGAAGGAGATCTTGCCCGTCTCGTCCTCGTCGAAGAGGGCAAAGACCTTGGGAGCGGATGGCAGCGGTGCATTGCGAGCATGACGCACAAAGTTCTAACCTTGAGCTCTTGGAGACTTACTTACAACTGCGGGTGAAGATCATAGCTAAGGGAAACAGCTTGTCGGAGCTGAGACTACGGGAGTGTGGCTGGCCTGCAAGCCCAGAAACTGACCGTGTCGAGCACGAGACTTGTCGTCAATCTACGAGTTTCCTGAGCCTGCAAACCCAGCACCTCCACGATGAGCTATAAACCACTGGCGGGGCCTTGTCGATCTCCACCCTCGAGTTCTTGTCGGGCATCCTTCCGTCAAGGAGGTTGCAACGGCTCGACCCCGTCCCAGTGTAGAGATGCAGCAGTGCACAAAAACATGCTTCTTGAGCCGGCCTTCCCTTCATCATCTCGCAGAACTCATTGAAATCGATGGGCTGGGACGGGTCCTGATGCGTCCGGAGTCTTGGGCAGTCTTGGAGGGATGTCGGCGCAGGTCTGCGGGAGTAGCCTTGATGGGTCTCAAGGGGCCCTGCACAAGCGCAAACCATGCCGACTTCTACCGCGGGAGCTGACGACCCGGCTTTGCCAATGTCCGCCAGCATTCTTCTGACCTCAAATCGCGGCGGCGTTCATCGCAAAACTCGGCAGCTTCGAGCGCTTGGCGTTGGCGTCGGCCTTGGATCCTTCACAGTTCATTGAGTGCTTTCCGACAAGGACTGAAAACTAGACGCTTCCATTAAACGATGTGAAGCTCCGCTTTGGAACCCCGTGTTCAATTCTTGCCTTCTTTGGAATCGGCCCGTCCTCCGAACTCAGACCTCAACTTAGCAAAGCACAAACAACCCGAAGCACCTCATCGCAATGGAGCGTCCGTACCATGAAACCCTTGACCTAAGCCACAATCCACCAAGCTTTCACCGACCATACAACTTAGCAAAGCCGACTCCCGACCCTGTCACGGCCCCAGAGCCAGAGCGGGAGCCGGGCATCTTCCTTTTTCACTTCGAAGCCTAAGGCTCTCAGTGCTGCCTCCCGGGACCGTTGAGTGGTCGGCTTTGGGATTTTGGGTTCACACGCGGTCTCAGAGCTGCTTCGAGACAGCCGGACCTTCAGCTCCCGTGCGTCGATGGCACCGGACTGCTCTGTGTCAAAGAGGCTGAAAGCCTGGACTTCGGCCAGGTCTTGTGAGCAAACTGAAAGGAATCCTCTAAGCATCCAACCCGAAATCCTCAAAGATTCAATTCGCCCTTCATTATTCGGACGCTTCCTCGCGGATCTCTTCGGTCTGCTCATCGTCCAGGCCTTGCCTTTGGACAGAGACGTGCGGGCGCATCGGCTCATCTGTCTTCAGACTGTTCGGAAACCCAAAGCATGAAGAAGCCTGCATCCAACCGCATCACACGAAGAAAAAAACCACTCTTTGCATCGTGCACAGAGTCAACTGCCCTTGGTGCAGATCCGCGGCCATGACAGCGGACATCCAGTTCATCTCACTTGCAGGATAAATCGGAGACTCAGACCCGAGATCTTCTGGCCGGGCCCACACTTACATCCGCGGAAGGTCTCGGGGCCTTGTGTTCGGCTTCCGCGTGGCGCGGCCCCCCTGCCTGGGAGTAGGAGCTTCCAGTACCAGTGCTTCATGCTTTCAGCTCTGGCGATATCCCTTTGAGATGGGGGGCTGAGGGGGAGCCTGATCGAGATTTGAAGCAACGAAGCCGAACTTGTGCATCGGGGTGGGGCGACGGCTAGCCCTTGCCTGATGCAACTTCCACTCAGGCCAAGAGGTAGACGGTGCTTCCAAGACCGTGCGCATTGCCCGAAAAACATGCCGACAAGCGTGCAGAATCGGCGTTGCAATACGCGCGCAACGTGACCTGCTTGTGACCTGCGACCTTTGCTGACGGCTCCAAGGCTCCTGTGCCACATGGCAAGGGCCGAGGCCCGCACGGCCCCGCGCGAGCCAGGACTGGAAAGGGGCGATGTGAACGCGTCGGTACTCGACCCACTCACTAGAGGGCCTGGAGCCTACGCTAAATGTCGATAGACCTACAGTCCTGGCATGTGATACTCTGCACGGTAGGAGGGTTTAACTCAAGCCGAACAGGAGTTCAAGAGGGCGAACGGGCGGCAAGACTGCCGGGCCTATGCTGCAAGTTGTCCTAAATGCAAAGCGACGCAGTCCACAACTTGCAAGCTTTGGCCCCTCTTCAGGTCTCGGGGCTTGGGTTCACGTCACGATGGGTTTTGAAGCGCCGCCGCTGGAAACACCATCTACAAGCTTCAAGATTAGCTCATCTAGCGCATGGACCATAACGGCAGTCGTCCACATCTCTTATCATTTTCAACTCCTGGCCTCCGCCCCCGAGACCACTGAGACCTGAGGAGTTAGGATTCAGAGGACCTTTGGGGATATAGACCCCCTCAATAGGGTCCCTGTTAAGAATGCCAGAAGTAGGGTTCAGAAGGGTCCCCTTTAAGCGGGTCTCCGTAATACCTAGGAGACCTTGGGAACCAGATGTCCCGAGGCTGTCGAACAGCAAGAACTCGTCCAACTCAAGCAGAGCTCGACTGGAGCCTTGACCCTACCTCTCAACAACACCCATATGGGAAGGTCGCGGCCCAGGGCTTGAGCTGACTAGGAAGAGGGCGGCGGAGTATGCTTTTTTTGTGCGTCTTTGCAGCGTCTGTTTGGCGTTTTGTGCGGTAACTCCAAACCCTACACTGTAAGCGGCCCAGCGGTACCCTGAGTGTGGCAAACCCTTGACCCCCAAAAAATGAAGCTGGGCGGAATGTAACTGGTTCGCACCTCGAGCCACTTTGATCGGGCTGGATGGGGTGGCCCACGCTGAAACGTGCAACTCCCACACCAGCAGCTTGAACTTTCATGAGGTCTCGGCCACCCGCACTGCGCGTGCTGCCGAGGCCTCAAACGAAAGCTGTAGGGCTTGGGGCAGACCCTGGGATGCAGCGGGTTCTGTCGAATGCTTCCGAGGGCTTCATGGGGCTTCTCGGCGCTCTACATGGGTCCAGTAATTGACGGGGAGGACGGCTCCTTCATGGTTGCCTGACTGGGAGCTCTATAAACTATCGCTTTCCGTTTTATTTGTTCCGATATCTCGGCTCACACCAACAACCTTCGCAAGACAAGTGAATACCTTCCAAGGTCAACGACCGCAACGGTCACTCTGTGCCGGATGGCCAGCCCTGTGCCAGGCTGGCTTGGAACTTGGAGAGGTCTAAGTAAGGGCCATCTGCCACCAGCAACTTCCTTTCAAGCCAAAGCATGGGTCCCGAACCGGAGGCTCCGCCGAAGCCGCGGCTGTCCCCGTAGCCCCTGGCAGCATGCACTGATCGAAGGCAGATGGGGGATTCAGGCATCAGCCTTGCAGCTTCAAGGCGCTTTTTGGAGATCAGGATGAGACGGCTCGTGCAACATCTTTCGGGTGGCTTCATCTGGAGTGCATGTCGGATCCAGCAAACCACATCCGGATCCCACCAAAACTAAACTGGAGCCCTGAACCTCAAGCTCCCGAAACAGCCGAGGAACCCTTTGGAACCATAGGCCATGGCCCGGAGCGCTGCGCGCCCGGCGCGCGCTGGCGCGCGCGGGAGGGCCGAAACACTCACGAAAGGATCAGATGGGGGCGATGGGAGCCCCTCGGACTTGGGAGGTTTAAGTCGAGGGTTCTGCTTGGACTTGTGACTTGTTTACCCTGACTGGGGCTAAGGGCAATGTAGTGCGGTAGTGAGGTTCGGGACCCTGAAATTCTAGACGACGAGCATTACGGAAAGGAAGAACGGTCATGATAAAACAGTGTATCATGCAATATCACCCGGCACTACATACCGTGACATGACATCGGTGCACCGTGTCGCCTTCACTTTAGCGAGTGCCAACGTCAATACCAATGCAGCGACAATGTCAGCATCAGTGCTCAGATTAGAGATTAGTGTTTACCCAATGCACCCAATGTCTATGTTGTGCTACACCGTGCTGAGCTGTGCTATGAGCTGCTATGAGGTGCCATGGGCCATGCCGTGCTATAACGAGAAATAAATGTGAAAGGAAGGAGAGGGGGAGGGGGAGAGGAAGAGGGAGGGACGGGAAAGCGGGGAAGGGAGGGAAGGGGGCGGGGCTTCAGCAGCAGTTCTTTTATTGGCCTCCCGCAAGCCGGTATGTGCGCATGCAGGCCCACTAAAGCGGGACGTGCTCCACGCCACATCCTTGTAGTTTGACGGCTTGGGGGGTTGAGTGCTGCGGGTTAAAACCGATTCTGGTTTGGGGTCATGAATTACACGTAACACCCTGAAGACCCTATCGACAACTCTGCCACAAGAGCTAATCGCAAACGCAGTTTGCACTCAGCCAGGACCCTCACACTTTGGAGCACTTGGCGGCCGCGCATGCCAAACCCTCTCGGAATAACGGAGCTCTCGGTCTCAGAAGGGTCTCACCCGCTATTTGCTCAACAGTTCTGACGACAGGCGAAACCTGTTTTGGGTGCGTGCGGCCCGGGCCCACAGTGTTTAGTCCCGCTGAAGCATTGAATTCTGGATGCAGCTCGCAAAGAGATCGGAGCCTTTGAAAAGGTTGGAGTTAGACGAATTCCCGGGATATCTAGGTAAGGCTAAAGGCCTGCACTCCCACTGCCTGTTGTCTCACTTTGAGGCTTTTGCTCCTTGCGTCTCCGAGGGTTGCTCTGCGACCGGCATCCGGGTGCACCGGGTGCAACGGGTGTATGTGCAGTCACAGCCGAGCCGCGCGCCAGCAGCTGTGATGGTCGTCCGGCATTGCTGGGCCAAGACTGGAAAACCTTCTTGCAGTGCCCTTTTCAGAGCTACTACGAAAGAGGGTACAGGCCATTCCGGATGGACGAGCCCTCAACCTGGGCCTTGCCCTTGACTCTAAGACTCTAAGACTCTGAGGCTAAGGACATGGCTACCTCTCCCCCGGCCTAAACGATGGGTCTTCTCAGGCCCTCCTCGCTGGGAGTGCCTCCAGGGAGCTGAGAAGACGAAGGACTTTCAATCTCAGAAGCGGCCAACGTCGAACCCCAAAGCCCAAGCCCCCCCCCCCCCCCCCCCCCGACGAAGCCGCAGACCCTGCCATCTCGCTGGCCTTGGCTGGCGAGCGTGCCTTGGGTAGGCAGCTGCCTTAGACCCGAGCTGGGGTTGGCCAAGATACAGCATCACAGAAGCACAGAACCGAAACTATTAGAGACCTTACCGTGACTTCCCCCCTTCGCCGGGAGAGGCTCTGCGGTGTCTGCTGGGCACCCGCGCTCGCGAAGGTGATCTCTCCTAAGCCCAGCACATCACCAAATCTCACAAATCAGCAAAGCACTGCGCGGAATCGACACACAAATGCCGAAACACGCTGCAATCAAAGCACTAGCGGCCACCGCCTAACAACTCGGAATATTTGCTGTTTCGCGGTCCCTAATCGGGCAATCGCTTCCGAGGATCTGATCCAGCAGTGCTGCGGCAGTTCTTGCCATAAAGTCAAGGAGTGCCTGCGCACTGTCGAACGGCTCTCACAGCAACTTCGGAAGCACCGGACAGTCAGGAGTTGGTCTTTTGGAACCCACCTCGCATGCATCTCGCTCCCGCTTGAGCTCGGGCAAGGACTTCTGCAGGGGGCAGCGGCAACACACGCACGAACTCAATGGCGGAGCCGCTGAAGGACAGATCCAAACAAGCTTGAAAGCTGGTCTGAGACAGTACCAAGGCCCTGTCGAGGCCTCTCGCGGGCGGCAAGGAATTGAAATCCGCAAACTTCAGCCGCCTCGTCCATCTGCTTCGGAGGCAAGGTCAGCTTGGAGACGTACCTCCCGACAGGGCTCACCGAAGGAGCAAGGGGTCGAGGACTCCTTTCACCGGGAAAACGCAAACCGGAATACCCAACACTCTGTCAAAACATGAAGTCATGAAACTCCGAGGAACCTAAACAGCCGACCTGATACCCTTAGAAGCCCACTTAACCTCCAAATAAAGAACCCGAAGCATCCTTAGAACTTAAGCTCGCTTGGTGCATCAAAGGCGGAACACCACATATCTAAGGCTGCTGCCAAACCCGACAAATCAAAAACCCCAAACGCCAGAGCCAACTGTGCCTCGGCCCCGAACCCGAGACCAGGTCAGCTTTCTACGGTCTGAAGCTCAGACAAAGTTGGCTCCGGCCCCTTCTTCAGCCCTAGGCTACTTTGGACGGAAACCCGTTGGGGTCTTTTTTGCTTTTTTTGGCGCTCACCTTCGCATACTGCTGGCATTGGGTCTAGGTTCAGAAAAACCACCGAAATCTTTGCACAGCCGCCTCATCTTCAGCTGCAATCATGTTCTGAAGACATCGCACCCTAATTTCACCCTGCATGTCTGCAAGCACTTAGTTCCAGCTCTTGAGCAGGTAACTAAACTTGACATTGAACTCCCCCGAAAACCTAAAACCCCGCATCCAAAACACCCGACGATCCGAAAGCCGGAAAGCAACCCCTAAACCCCACTTGGGCGCACCTCCGGGCGACGAAAGCCGTCTGGTTCTCATCACGCCGTGGAGACTCGGCAGCGGCCAGAAGTTCAAAAAGCGTCTGATCGATGTTAACCGCCTTTGGGTGCGAGGTTTGTGTACTAGGATGTGCCACCCTGCGATTCTGGCAATATGGCTGTACTTTCCTGAATCAGGGAGTTTTCTCCATACGCATCAGAGAAGAGGCTCCATTGGCCTCCTGTATCTACTGGAGAGTAGAGATCGCAAAAAAATGGCGTTGTTGACATCTGCGTGGCTCGATCAAAAGATCTGCAACTAATGCGCTACATCCATCCGCGGGTACATGCATAGATACATACATCCATACTTACTTACATGCATACATTGTTGTTTCAAGAGTTATTTGCTGTCATGTCTGTGTATGTACACTCATATCTCTGTGGTCTGGACTGTTTTGACCTGATCTAAGATGGCGTTAAAAAATTAGCGCATGTCTCAAGATATCTCGTGAATCTAGTGCAGAAGCATGCCCTAACTTCAGTCTCCCCCGAAACTGCCAGGGCAGCTCCCGTCGAACACCAACTGGTTCTCCCTCAGATGGGGTTTGGGAATCCGGAAACGAAACCTGGTACGGTATCGGTGGCAGAATCCATGGTCGCAGGTGACAACTCGACAGATCTGGTCTTCTGGGCATGTGGAGTTACGCCTCCCATTGAGCATTGAGGATGCTGTGCTGCGAAACCGTGCATTGTTACACTCGTCAATGGTGCAAGCCACAAGTGAACGGCAAGCTCTGAGCTTACCACCATGTCAGCGCCTCCAGCACATGACATGAAGGCTGGCGCCTTTTCTAAGGTCCCATCTACTCCCGCGTCGACTGCAGCAACAATCCACAATCCATCGCATCCGGGAGCCTCCGTCCGTGCTGTCCACGTTGCAATGGGCCACCTCTTTGGCAGCAGCATCTGCCTGCGGGGCAAAGTCAGAACAAGGAGAACAGGCAAAGGGGACTCTGTTCTGGCCCCTGCAGCCTTGGGTCGATTCTAGCTGCGTGCTGCTACGACGAAAACTTTGTGTTTAAGAAGTGAAACTCAAAAACAGGGACTCTCAAACTGCATGCGGCTTACCTTGATTTTCAGGTGGGCTTGTCACAACAACAAGGCAGCCTACACTGCAAGCGGCCTGTCCTAACATTCATCAATGTGGATTCAAGCCCTTTTCAAACACCATTGACTCGTGCTTGTACATTCTAATTGTAGCGCTAAACAGAAGTCCACCTATTGCAAAGACTTCCGGTCGTGGGCCTCTGCACCTATGAGCTGAAGCTGCGAGTTCAGGCTCTGCATGACTTGCTGCAGCGCCTGGCATTTCACGGCTTGCGACATCCATGGCAAGCCTGCCTTGCTGTTTTGCCAGCCCTTGCCAGGCCTATAGCCTCAGTATTGTTTGCATCAGAATGTCAATTTCATGTTGATTCTGAGCATGGCAGCCACTACCCAGCACCCTCGCAACCCACAGCATGGGAACAGATCTGAAATACGCAAGACTCATGACCGGAAGGAGAAGAAGAAAGCCTGGACAAAACCCTGTCTAAACTGTTGTTTCACCCACGGCTGTTCGAGCCGACCTCAGAAGCATCGTGTCCTGAAGGTACCGGGAACCCTGAGCACACCTGACACCTCAGAAACCAACTACGCCACAGCGTCTGAGGGATTTCGGGCTTTGGGCACCTCCAGCTCGTGCATCATCTCCGGGCTGTGCCCTGGCTCCTGCGACTGGTGATTCCGAGCCGGTTCTGTGCTCCTACCCGCTTTGATCCCGAATTCCGTCGCCTGCACCACGGGGCTCGGTGCGCCATCGACATTCAGCCTCGAGCTGCCGAGGAATTCAGAAGAATGAGCTAGGCGCTCTCTGGTGATATGAAGGCTTCTGGTGCCAGAGATCGAAGTTTGAGTGCTCCTGCTGTAGGCGCCAGCTTCTTGCAGCGAGCAGCATCCGTCGCCCGGCGAAGACCTCATCCGCCTGACATCTTGAATCGGGGCAAGGGGCGAGAAGCCGACGCGGGGTTCTGGGGCTAACAGCCAGCAAGTTTGGCGAAGTTGCCGCAGGGACTGTCGAACACTAGGGCTTGGCGCAGCAGTGAAACGTCGACGGTGGAGTGTCAGCTCCACAATCCTACGGCCAATGCATTGCTTGCGGTGGGGAGCTAAACGGCATGTAGCAGCACGCACTGCCAGACCGAGAAACAAGCTCGACAAGAACACCGCACGAAAAGACAACGGGAGCCGGACTAAAATAAGAGATGCACAACCACACTCATTGCAACTGTCGAAGTCATTGCTTGGTACGAAGCCGCGTGGGAAGCCAAGGCCCTGAACAGGCACTCTACGACTTGGAAACCAAGTCGTAACAAACGCCCCCCTCCCACAAGTGCCACACTTGTAACATGCAACTGCAATCTCAAAGTGGAATCTGCCGGCGACAGCACTCGTGCCGTTGGTGCCCATGGCCTGCAGCGAGGGTGTGGGCTTCCCGAAGAGCTGGCACTCGAGCTTGCCCAACTGCTCCAAGAACTCCTATGAGCACACAACGGTCGTTGTTGGAACACGTGGCTGCACGGTCTTCAAAGGGCACAGAGGGCACCTGCCGTGGATCGGCGATGGGCCGCTGCCTCCGCAGGAAGTCGTAAGTGTCTTGGAGGCTCCTCCGCTCCTCAGCTGCTGGCTCAGTCTTCGCTCTGATGGGCGAAGCATCCCGTTCGCGCAGGTGCTCATAAAGCATCGCCATCGTCATCAAAATCTCACTCCTGACTGCACAACCCTCTGTTACACTGTTGCGGCTCCGGTGCAAACTTCATGAGGTAGGCAATAACCTGAGTTCACTGGCAAATGATGACGAAGTCTGTTGAACGGAGCTGCGATCCGAAAGTGATGCTTCTGAACCTGGGTTTCGTGGCTTCTCGTCCTCTCATGGTTCCGATCACCCAGTGCAAGGACGACGTGCCTGGCCTTCGACCCTACACTATCCACAGCTGTTCCGCCTGGACATCTGCCCTCAGCGTCCACCTTCCACGAATGGCACCAAGAGTTGCTTGCTGGGTGCAAGGCTACCGCAGCGGACCGCGACACGCCCTGCACGCAGTTCACCAGCACCTTTCTCGTGACTTCATCTGACATCTGAGTTGCCTCATGAAAGCTGACTTAGACTCAAGACTCTCCTGCCCGACCCGGACTTGTCTCCGCACAAATCTGCCGGCCGGGTGCCCGGTGCTGGTCACCAGAGCAGCGTGCGTCGTGGATGAACTCTAGTGCACCTGAGTCATGCAGGGTTCAATCGAAGCGCCTTGAACATGCGGAATTCAGAAACGGATTGGACCCTACTGTTCCGAACAGAGACGAGGAGCTAACGAAATGGAATCCAGCAAGAACCAATGGGAAAATGATCGAAATATACTTGAGTAAGTAACCAGACAGCAGCATCCTAGAACCCGCGATATCGAAGCCAAGGTTCGACGCAGTTTGCAAGCGGATTGTTTGACTTCCAGATATGCCCCAACACGAATAATCTCTGAGTGCATAGGCGCACGAACGTTCTACGTGCCCTATACCTTTAGACATATATAATCGTTACCTAAACATATATGCATATGGGAGCGCCCCAGGCACCCCCATCGTTCTGCCCTCAATTATGCAGCATCCCAAAGAACGAATAAACAAAAAAAACACTAAAACGAAAAACCTGAGAAGATGTAAGGTGCTAGTAGTCGTAATCGTAGTCGTGGTCGTAGTCGCCGTAGTCGTCGTAGTCGTCGTAGTCGTCGTAGTCGTCGTAGTCGTCGTAGTCGTCGTAGTCGTCGTAGTCGTCGTAGTCGTCGTAGTCGTCGTAGTCGTCGTAGTCGTCGTAGTCGCAATTGTCGTAGTCGTCGTCGTAGTAGTAGTAGTAGTAGTTGTTGTTGTGTCAATAGCAGCAGTAGTGGTCGTCGTCGTCATACTAGTTACTAGTAGCACTAGTAGCAGTAGTAGCGAAAAGCAATTAATTCGTGATTTGAACCCTGAGTCGTGCAAAGCCTTTCTAAACCGCTAGAGATGATAGCACATGGGGGACTTTTGAACCATAGTGACATTTTGGCTTGTTTTGACCATACTTCATCTCGAATTTGCTGTTTATAGTGGGGATTGGCTTTGCTACGTGCCCGTTATGAACCTGACTTGAAATTTGCTGCAGCTTTTCTGAAGGCTTTTCTAAGATTTTCGAAAAGGATTTGCTGCAATCAAGTCTTTGCACGTCTAAAGGCATTTCTATCTTGTCTTCATTCTGTTAAATTCGTTTCAATTGTTCCACTTCGTTCCGATTCATTCCTCTGTGTAAATTGTGTGCTGATTTCGCTGCAAATGCCGCGAGCAGATGGGGGGGACTTATGACAGCTAATTCCAAAAGCCTACTGTTTCCATGGATCTGGGGATCGTCTTGGCTTCTCTTGGGTTTCAACGTCCTGGAGTTTTCACATGTCGCAAGCTTTTGGGGCTACTTCGCAAGCGGCCTCCTAAAAAGTGCCGAAGCCTTCTCCCAACAAGGCTTCCTGCCATCAGCCTTACGCTTGAATCCCCAAGGCCTACTTGCACAGTGGGAGAAGGCACCCACAAGATCCGAGATCAACAACAAACAAAACACGGCGAAATTCCAGCAGGCCATGCGGGAAAGCATTCACAATCAAGCCACCAAAACAAAGCGGAATCCCAGCCGTAACGCGAACACCATGGTTTGCAATGCTGCTCCAGGAGTGCCTGGCAGTCGTGTGCCCGTGGGGACGGATTGGCGCTGGCGGAATTGTGATGCGAATTCACGAGCAAACCTTGGTGTTCCCTTTGCTTGCCTTTCCAAGATGCACTTCCCCTAACTGCACATGGCTGAAACCGACATGACCAAGCCATCGAGTAATCGAGTAGACGAGCTCCTGGATTGCGTCACCTGAGTAAAATGCTGTTGAGAATTGCACGCTTGCTCACCTCGCCCTCGCCCAAGCCCTTTTCAATCTGCATCATCACTGCAGCCCATGGCAGCCATCACAAGCCAGATTGCCCGATCCGAAAAAGAACAAATCATCTTGTCGTGATGTTGGGAACATGACGCCGAGGAAAGCCTCTGTGTGCCTCCTCCGGGATCGCACGCGGTAGTTCTCTATCCACGCCAGGCAAAAAGGAGACATGCGATGCGATAGGAGGCATGCGGCTCGGCACGCAGAACGCACCACAAAGAGGTGGTACGCGGCGCGGAAAACCTTGCCCCACCGCTTCGCCCGTACCAGCCGTGCCAGCTTCTGGCGCAGGAAGAAAAGGCCGTGGAAATGCCGCCATCACACAACGTCAAACAATGCGTCTAAAAATTGAAGCGTCGGACTAAGTACCAAGCTCAAGTTTAAGGATAGTTACCCTGCATCTACGGATACACGCGCATGCAATCGAAATGCAATTCCTTGCTCAATGGATCCTGCTCATGTATCATCGCCAAATGAGAAAACAGTCCAGGCCTGCAGCAAAACCTACTCAACTCCCGATGCCAAAGACGCCACAACAGGCATTGCATGGAGCGGCTGTTTTTTCATAATCGAACATAGTCAGGCTCGGCGGCTAGTCGGGGAGGTACTCCGCATGCTCGAGCTCCCAGCGTGCCTGGAAAAGTGCGACATGCGCAACCGTGATCATCAAACACCACGCGTAAGGAAAAGCAACGTACCGTGCGCAGCTTCCCGGCCCATCGCCGCGCAAGTCGCGGCTTGCGTGCGCGCCATAGGCGCACACGGAATACGAGCTGCCGGAGACCTTGGAATGCTTTAGGTTAGGCAAGAGGTCTTGAGCGACCGACTCGGGCGCATGCGCAGTCGGAGCTTCCTGACATGCTCCTTGATCGCCATCCGTTGACCGTTGACTTTGAATGTGACGGGTCAAGCAACGAAACAAAGTGTCACTGGATGCTCCTGCCACCACGTGTCCATGTCACGCCGAGAAGCCTCCTAAGGCAAACGCCAAAGAAAAGGCCCCCCATAGTGCATACTGGTGCCCCCTGATCAGATTTACAGAAGCCAGGGAAACGCCAGTTGTTCAAATGCAACCGAAGCACTGGGGGAGGGGGGAATTCAACAGATTTGCATTCCATTTCGTGGTTTCCCACATGTGCTGCCTTTCGACACAGAGCCGCTTCGGGCGCCGCGACATGTGATGCTTTTCCACATGCAGCCGTTTAACAACTGTATTCCTTCTCATACCTTCCCACATGCACTGCTGCGGTCAGGGAGGGGTGGATTGAAACGTTTATCATTCCCTACTGGCCTGGCGCATTAAATCACATCGGGCTGTAAACGTCCCAACTCCTGCATGTCCACGCATGATCCGAAAAATCTCTCATCCGAAAAAATGCACATCACTTGTCTCACTTCCCCTGTGTCACACACTCCATAGCCCCCGCCCAGGAAATCGGTGCGTGGTACGGGAAGTTGCTGCAAATCTGCCGAACATCAACAATGAAATCTTGATAAACATGTGGCAAACGCATCTGCAAACGCCATGTCTACAGTGATTTCATATGGCCAGTGTGTCTGATTGGAACCAACAGTGATAACGTTTTGGAAACGCGACAAACACGACGACTACGCGTGAATTCATGCTGCCCTAACTTGTGACGGAATCAAAGAATGAAATCTTTTGCGCGTGAGGGATCGGTATCGAAGATACGCTATGTTCGCTCCCCTCACCAAGAGCTTGTAGTGTAAGTGTGGTTTGCCTCAAAGAGCTTCAGTTGACACGTACTCTTCACTTCCAGTTGCTATCCCTTGCAGGCAAGTTTGGCACACTTCTGGGCACGTTGGTGTTCGTGGAACCTTCCGCCAATTTTTTGTCCTCACCAGGTGGGCCAGCTTCCGACGGACGAACATGAGCCCTTGGAAATGCCGCCATCACACAACGTCAAAGTGGCAGGCTGAGGTTCTGGGCTTGCTGGTGTTCCCGGAACCACGCCGCGATCTCCGCCTGCTCCTGGAGGCGCTGGGCCTCGTTGTCGGACGCGCATGACCAACTCTCGATCCTACAGACATGCATGTGACCCCTCCTCCCACAAAGAAATATGTATGATTTCCAGCAGCTAGTCCCAACATGTCCCAACCCACCCAACACATGCCGTGCTCACATCTCTTGTATGTTGGTAGCCAATGCCCGGAGAAAGATTAGCATTCAAGTTTGAAGCGTGCTCATGCAAGTCCGGACTGTTCGCCGGACTCGACTTTGATATGAAGCCCCCATTTGTGAAGATGTGCATATAAAGCTCGGGTTCTCCCAGCTCGCGCTGAAATACTTCAGCATGAAAACCGGCCGCGTCAAGGGATTGGCCGGATATCATCTGAAAAGAAACATCCACAGGCCTGCCCCGTCAGTGGTTATGTCCTTCCAAATTTCAATTGCAAACTATTACAGCTACAGCTTCTTATAGAAAAATGGCTTGTTGTTGTATTGTTGTTGCAACTTGTAAGTGTCCAAAGGGCTTCCACTCAATCCTTGAGCGTGTCGATGTTCCCTCTCCCAACAGATGCAAGTGGCAAGATGGAAAGCAGCCGTTTTCATCAGCATACATTGGATTTGGTGTCTCCGTACTGCCATCCCTACCGCTGGATACGGCTGAAGATGTTGGCTCAAGATCTCGGATAAAAGTGATTTGATTTGTTTGCTTCCAAGGTGCCTTCGTTTACCCGTGTTGACATGGAAGAGGATCCCAAAAAAGCAAAGAAAAGGGGTCAGGAGGGCAGCGACGGTGCGTTGGTAGCGCAACCCTGAACCAATCCCCCAATGGCGCCATCCATCTCTTCCAGGATGTCTTGGTCCGGCGTGTCCCCAAAGCCGATCCTGGTAGTGTTTATGATTCGGAAAGGAGGCGGCTGAGCATAGGGTTGGGCGACCTGGATTCGAAATCTTGGTTTGTCTGGGTGTTGGGACCTGGACACCAGAACTTCGCATTTCAAGCGAACTAATACCGTTTAGGATGTCAGAGTTTAGGGCGTAGAAGGTTCAGTGTAAGCAAACATCGCAAGCTGATTAAATCTTCGGGCCAGGTCGCTTCTTGTACACGAACCCCAGGCCGCGCTGGGCGTTGTACTCGGTCACCAGCCTCGCAGAACGGAGCAAGCTGCAAATAATCTGCGTTCGGCTATCAGAATCGAAATTAATCTGCGGGTTCGGGATCAAGGGTGCTGCCAGGTCTAGAAGTCCTTTTGCACCAAGGCGCTTCGAGATGTCCTCTTTGATGTTGACCTGACGGTGCCATGGAACTCGACATGAAGAGGCTGAACTACCGTCAAGGATTCTCGAACTGCAGGGCCCAGGAGCGCCTCCTGGGCCAAGTTGAGGACGTGCGTGATGCCAGTTCGAACAGTGAGCTCCTGGCAAACACAGCCCGGAGCTGCCAGGACTCCGCAAAACGTTTAGCTTTGACTCAGGGGGAATGCCCATTTCCAGGGCTCGGACCTTGTCGTTGTCCAGGTTCCTCTTGCCTTGGAGCTGAAGCGGGCAGAAGGAAGCAAGGAAGCTACTGAGCACCTCGATTTGTCCCCGCCCCAAGTTTACTCCTCATGCAAGACTGAAGCTCCCTAGTCGCGCTTCGTCTTGTCGCCATCCAGCTCGGATGCAAGATGGTAACACATGCTTCTGCCGGGCAGCCACCGACGTAGAGCCAGGGGAGGATCTCGCTGGAGTGCGACGTGAGGTGCGACTCGAAGTGTTCCGAGGGAATCTCCTGCTCCTGGCCATCCCCGTAAATCCAGCTTCGTGTGTGACGACTATGATCAAAGGCTGGGAGGATTGTGCATGTCTGGGTAGCCTGACACAAGTTGTCCACACTAGTCCACTACACCTCTGCTGATTTGATCGTTCATCCTTCCATCAGAGTCTGGTATAACTCCCGTGCAGACTTGCGGCACAGCGCTGACATGTCGTGCGGCTGCGTGGGCAGTCCGGAGAAATCCTTGGTAACGCTGCTGGCTTCGATTCGGATGACCATTACCTTAAAATTAAAACGATGTGGTTGCATAAACTTTGCAGTTGGTTCTACTGGATCCAATTAATTAAAGGGGGATGCACGGAAGCTGTCAAGCTATTGGTATCTCTCGGGCTGAGGAATATATGATGCATGCAGGTTTGAGAACGCTTCTCTGCCTAGCGCATTTTTCGACCAAACCCCTTGCGTCCGAGGTACTGGGAGAGATCCAGGTCCTGGATCTCCTGCCGTTGGAAGAAGTGGGCACCAGCACCACAAGTTCATGCTCATGGTTCGGGCTCGAGGTTCTGAAGTTCAAGACGGGTCACGCAAGAAAGCCTCGAAAGGCAAGATGAAAGACAGGAAATCCATGTATACACCACAGGCAAGCGGAGAAAAGCTTCTTTGGATTTCTTCCCGGAGGCCTTCGACTCCTCGCGGTCCTTCCGCCGCCCCTGACATTCTGGGAGTTGGGCTTTGAGAACGTCGGTGCTTTTGCCAGGGAATCATTCCCCACGCACGTAGGCCGACTCTGAGCCTTCAAGAACCTCCCTCCTGAATGCGCCTCTTCCGCAACACGTTGCAGCAGCTCGCTCATGCCACTGTCACGCCGACACACCTGATTTCTAAGGTCTCAAGGTGCAAGCGGATCCTGCATGCCGCAACACAGAGGCAGACGGCTCCTCTGCAATTAGGCATATCGTAGAACCATGATGAGAATGGCAGTACAGAATTCGACTGACAGTGGCATCGACGAAGGAACAGGGTGAAGCAGCAATTGGGATGGGCCGGAAATGCCTTTCTCTAGGTCACTGGCCGTCGGCGGGGAAGCCTTTGCGCCAGGAGCCTGACGGCCGTTAACAGTGGCGCATTTGTCTGCCTGAGGGCTGAAGCATTGCGCGGAAACAAGGCAAGCGAGATTGCACATCTATTGTAAGTTGAAGCTGAAGGCAGACGTCTGCCGTGGGAAAAAAATATCCTGGCAGTTTGCGTACGGGTTTTGTATGGAACGCCTTGGCATCATGTTCGCTATGGATTTCGACTCAAAGACTGCATCGGCCCATATCGGCCCCACACTATATTTTCCTTTCAGTGTTCCGAAGACATTGCACGTCTTGTCTCGTTGACCTTGTCATTTCCCTTGAGCTTGGAGCATCGTTCCATAGGCATGGCTTCGCCTCTCCTATTGCCAGAAACAAAGAGCAAACAGTAAGGCCTTCGGCGGCGGGCGTCTCCCGGCGGGTCCTTTGCCCCGACCTTTGCTTCCCGAGGGCAGCAGCTCCTGAGAGCATGGCAAGCTTAGGCTCAGAGACACCTTCTGCCAAGTGCACCGCACCTGGAGAAGATCGCTGCCGAGATCGGAGCCTTGCGGCGACTGCCAGGCCTCCGTCTCCTAGCCACAGAGTCAAAGTGCAGCACGCCGCGGCAGGCCAGGGAGGCTTGCGTGAGTACTGTGTGAACTCTCCAAAGGTCTGCGTGATTTCACCATGATGATGATGGTGGTGATGATGACGATGAGGACACTGAAGCTCATGTTTCTCAACCTGGGCATACTCATCTGCATGATCTTTGCAGAACCATATTCATCGGAGGTCTGCAGCCTACAAGAGCCCCGAAGCCTGGGCCGAAAGACGACGTCTCACCCCAAAACATCCACGCCATCCCGGTCTGCCTGGTGGGCCAGCACATCGACCTGCACCCACGGAGCAGCAGCAGCAGCAGAGTGCGCCGAAGTAGTCGTCGCAACCAGGTTCTCTCAATGAGATGTCAGAAAAAGCTCCAACCAATCAACCGCAGCAGCTGCAGCAGCGAACGTAGCAGCAGCACAAGGGCAGAAGGAAGGCAAAAAGAATCGATCTCCGATTGTCATCGATAGTCATGCAGCCGTGATACAGACCGAATGAGAGACGGCAGCGCATAGACCAACAGTATCAAGACAAAAGACTACAATGACTATAACCAAATCGTCAGAGGGGCTAGATTCAGATTGCTAGAAACAGCATCTCCGTGAGCAGAAGGCCTCCATGAGCATCTTTGAATCGTCATCAACGCTGCTTCGCTTCTCCTCCAGGCGTGCGTTGCTTAAAGCCAGCCTAGCCTCGGGTGTGGGAACAGTGCAGCCATCAACACCGGTGGTTATTGAATGTATCATTCATACAACTCATTGAAACTCTCAAGCCCGAAAGCATCGATACTGCGACGGTGCGGTCCAGATCCAGCGTAGGGACTGGCGTGGAGGAAGACAACACCTCCCGTGGTGGACGAAACTTGCAGCGTCGGTTGGCAGCCAGTGCCCCGTGAGCAGCCTTCGACTGCCACATAATGCTGTTGCAACTCTATCATTCTAGGACATGCCGAACCGGGCATGGGGAGCCTATCACAAACTCCGAAGGTGACGAATTCGGTGACTTTTCAAGAGGCCTCTTGGCCCAAAGGCATCCGTCTTTCACACTGCACCGGTCACCCCACTCGCCACAACAAACCTCCGCGAGCTTGCTCTTGCAAACCCTGAAACCCAGCCCTTTGACCTTTTGCAGGTCTCCATGACATATGGAACCTGGCGGATGCAGGCTTCAGCGCATTGCCGTGCCAGCACCTGACAGTGGAAGGTCATCATGGTCATCATCATCAACGTGCTCATCATCATCATCATCATCATCGGCAAAATCACCACCACCACCACCACCACCACTTGCCAACACCACCATCACCATAACCACCATCACCACCATCACCATAACCACCATCACCATAACCACCATCATTATCATCATCTGCCACCACCACCATCAACACTACCTTAACCCGGTGACCATATGAGGATCATTTTGCTACTATACTGTGCTTCCTGACGATGCCAATAACCAGCATCATAGCTGTTGCACCAAAATACGGTAGCATACTACGGCAAAAACATTGCTTTCAACACCAGGAAGAATGACGTGAAACATAAAGCCCTGCCAGATTGCACGCTTGTTGACCAAATGATCGAGACAACCGCTAACAAAAGAAGAAATGCAACCACCTTTGTGACAGTCATCTAAGCAAACCCAACAAATCTATGAGTTGAAAGACAGATGAGCGGATGAACATGACAAGTAGCGGCAATGAAACTAAATGTGGTACTACGCTGTACATTAAGAACCAACAAGAATCTTTAAGAACCTACTGGCATGCCAGTGCTACCCAACTCGTCGCGCAAGCGCTGTCCAGAGAAAGTTATGCAAACCACATTTGACTTGGTCTCTGCTCAAACTTCAGAATTTCACAGGATCCTCAAGTTGGATAATCTTGAGTGAACGCTGGGTCCTGTGGAGAAAAACTCGGGCTGAAGCTTCTTGTTGGATATGGCCTGACTCGAACTGGAAACCCTTTCTGCATAGAGGCGGCCAGGATGCCTCGGCATTAGCCACGATGATGCGCGTGACTTCTTCTGTCACCTGCCAACAAAACTCACACTGCCTAGTTTATCTTCTGGGGATGTGCGGATGAACAAACTGCAACATCCTACCTACGAGCACCTTGTTTTCCTAGCTGCGCCGAGAGGCACACCGCTAAACCTTTGCGACTCCAAAGCTGAGCTAACCCCCGACGTTTCTTCATGACTACATCCGGGACTTCTGACAACTGTGTATGAAGCCGTCGAAGAGCCTGCTCAACAAAGTTCGCCGGGATGGACACCTGGGGACAGTTTCAAATTCAAAAAGCCTCACCCGGAAGATAGCACTTCAACACGGGTCAGAGACTCGCTCGCTCTAACAGGCATCCCTCCAAAATCTTCCACGGTACACAGGGAGTTCACGCCCACGCCTTGCCCAAAGCCTCCATGACCTCGTTGAAACGGAACGGACTGCTCTTCTTCTAGATTGCGTTGTAGGCATTCCCAACTTCGGCTTCCAAGGGTGAGGCCAGCTGCGCCTCGAGCGATGGTGGCGTCGAAGACAAAGATGATCAAGTACCAGAAAATGTCAAGCTCTTGTTTGAAATCGTTATGGGCGAAATATCCGGTCTCGTTCATGAAGCCATGGTTTGCTGCGCTTCCATGCCGACGATACTCATGAGGGTCCTGGCTTGCAAACTCGTAAGAATGGTCTCGGCTCAAGCCACGACAACACGCAAAGAAAACGTGGTGCGATTTGGGCCACGTGCTGCGAGGCATAATCCGGGTATATAAACTTGTAACGGGCAGGAACCATTCAAGCGAAAACAAACATTTGCAATCGGGGCTTCTTGTGAACGGGGGTCTGTTAAACGACAACAAGCATTGCCTGCATCGATCACACGTGATATACTCTTCGTGAGACCTCCCTAGTCGTGTAGCGGCATGATTGATGCGGGGAGTTTACGTCGAGCAGTATGGCGTACGATCGACGAATCTACATTGCGAGTTTCAGATGCACTTGCCCCACAGCACATGGCAGAAGTTGACTTAACCAAGCCCTCGCCCAAGCCCTTTTCAATCTGATCATCGCCGCAGCCGGTCGCCATAATCCACACTTGAAGCCCAATCCAAATTAGAATTAGAACAAATCATCTTGCCGTGATGTTGGGAACAGAAGAGGAGAATCAACATGGGTACCCAGCCTCACACCCGGTAGCTCTCTATCCAGGCCAAGTGCTGCGCCTCCCGTTTTGCCTGGACAAAAGGAGACTTGCGATGCAAAATGATGCATGCGCGGAGGAACGCAGCACGCACCACGAAGAGGTGGTACGCGGCGCGGAAAACCTTGCCCCACCGCTTCGCCCGTACCAGCCGTGCCAGCTTCTGGCGCAGGAAGAAAAGGCCTTGGAAATGCCGCCATCACACAACCCTGAGCATCCCATATTCATTACAATCAATCAATTTCGCAAACAGATATTGATTTTTTGCGCAGCGTCAAAAATCAATATACCGAAAACACGGCATATTGATTAGCATATGGATTATCATATTGATTAGCATATTGATTAGCATATTGATTGGCATATTGATTAGCATACTGATTAACATATTGCTATATATGTTGTTTTACAAACTAATTTATATCGCTAATATGCATAAAATACATATGATCGAGCATATATGAAAATATGTATATGTGTGTGTGTGTAAGGCCTTGGGTATAGAAGACTGTAATGTAGAGGTGTGGGGTATAAAGGTGTCGGGGTAAGGGGCTTTGAGGGGATTAGAGGCAGAAGGATTTAGGGCTATAGTGGAGGTTCACAAACATCGGGGTTTAGGGCCAGGGGGTTTAGGGGTAAGGGGCTAATGGGTATGGGATCGTAGGACTTTCGTGGGCAGATGGCTTTAGAAAGTCTAGCAGAAAGCGAGGTAGAATGAGAGAAAGAGAGAACAAACGAAACGGAAGGATAGGGAACGAAGAGAGAAGAGAGAAGCGACTAAAGAAAGAGATACAGACAGAGAGGCAGAGAGAGATAGATAGAGAGACAGATCAAGAACAACATAGAGAAGGCAAGGATAAAGTGGAAAGAGAAACCTAGGACAAACCAAAGAAAGAGAAAAAGAGAGAGAGAGCGACAGAAGGAGCGAAACAGAGACATAAGGGAGAGAACGAGAGAAGGACACAAGGAGAGAAAGAACAAGAGAGATAACGAGAGAGATAGAGAGAGAGAGGAACCAAGGGAAAAGAGAGAGAGCCAAAGAAGGAGAACAGGAGAGAGAGAGAGAGAGAGAGAGAGAGACTGAGAGAAAGAGAGAACGAGAGAAAGACAGAGCGAGAGAAGGAGAGAGGGAGGGAGAGAGCGAGAGAGAAAGAAACAGAGAGAGAGAGAGAGAGAAAGGGAGAAACAGAGGAAGCAAGAAAGAGAGGAAGAACGATAGGTTTAGAGGGTTTAGGGTTTGGGGGTCTCGGGTCTCTGGAAGCTAGGGGCTTTGAGGGAGGGCTGTGACATTAGGGATTGTGGCGTTTTTTTTGTTTCGGGGGGTGGGGGAGTTCTACGTTTCCAAAATCATTCTCCCCAACCCCAAACCCGAAGCTTTTCCAGCCAACCCCCCTAACACCCCCAAGCCCCTAAAGCCTGCCACCCACCAAATCCTCACCCCGACCCAAAACCCTTAACCCTTCACCCCCATCGGGTTTGAAGGTGGTGGCGATGGTGGTGGTGGTGGTGGTGGTGGTGGTGGTGGTGGGTGGTGGGTGGTGGGTGGTGGGTGGTGGTGGTGGTGGTGGGTGGTGGGTGGTGGGTGGTGGGTGGTGGGTGGTGGGTGGTGGGTGGTGGTGGGTGGTGGGTGGTGGGTGGTGGGTGGTGGGTGGTGGGTGGTGAGTGGTGGGTGGTGGGTGGTGGGTGGTGGGTGGTGGGTGGTGGGTGGTCGTCGTGGTGGTTTTGGTGGTGGTGGCGGCGGTGGTGGTGGTGGTTGTGGTGGGTTTGGTGGTGGTGGCGGCGCTTTTTCTAGTGGTGGTGCTGGTGCTGGTGGTGGTGGTGGCAGTGGTCGTGGCGGTGGTAACCCTTCAACCCTACCGGGTTTGAAAGCTTTTGGTGGTGGTGCTGGTGGTGGTGGTGGATTGAGGGGTGGAGGTTGGATGGAGTTGGTTTGGAATGTGCTGGGTGGGGGAGGCGGGTTAAGGGTTGATGGAGCGGTGGGTGAACACGGTGAGCTCTGGGTTTGGGCTGGGCACTTCAAGGTGTTTGGGTTTGGGTGCCTTCCTGCGCCCCCTGGCCTCCCCCGGCCCCCCTCCTATCTCCTGGCCCTTCTCCGGTCCTTGCAGGGTTGAACCAGGTATCGAAACAAATTTGAACCAGTTTTGAATTCTTTTTTTTCCAAATTGGTTCAAAAAAATCAAATCTGATGAAATCTGATGAAATCTGATGAAATCTGATGAAATCTGATGAAATCTGATGAAAAACCAGATTTCATCAGATTTCATCAGATTTCATCAGATTTGATTTTTTGAACCAAATTGGAAAATAATTCAAAACTGGTTCAACTTTGTTTCGATACCTGGTCCAAAGAATAAAAACCACACCCACCAAACCCAAACACCTTGAAGTGCCCAGCCCAAACCCAGATCTCACCGTGTTCACCCACCGCTCCATCAACCCTTAATCCCCTCCCCCACGCAGCACATTCCAAACCAACTCCATCCAACCTCCACCCCTCAATCCACCACCACCACCAGCACCACCACCAAAAGCTTTTAAACCCGGTGGGGTTGAAGGGTTACCACCGCCACGACCACTGCCACCACCACCACTACCACCACCACCAGCACCAGCACCACCAGCACCACCAGCACCACCACCACCACCACAACTAGAAAAAGCGCCGCCGCCACCACCAAACCCACCACCACCACCACCACCACCACGGCCACCACCACCACCACCACCACCGCCGCCACCACCACCACCACCACCACCACGACCACCACCAACAAACCCACCACCAGCACCAGCAGCAGCACCACCACCAGCACCACCACCACCCACCACCCACCACCCACCACCCACCACCCACCACCCACCACCCACCACCCACCACCCACCACCCACCACCCACCACCCACCACCCACCACCCACCACCCACCACCCACCACCCACCACCCACCACCCACCACCCACCACCCACACCCACCACCACCACCACCCACCACACCACACCCACCACCCACCACCCACCACCCACCCACCACCACCACCACCACCACCACCACCAACACCACCACCATCGCCACCAAAGCGTCTGGGCCCAAGCCGTGTTGTGTGCCCCAGGGTTCGTGGTGTGTGCTCCCCCTGGGTTCCCTGGTTTGCCTTTCGTACAGGGTGTTCAAGGACCTGCTCTGCCATAGCTCGCTGCTTCTCTGAACTGCTGTGGTATCGCTTCAGCCGTGGTCACTGGGATGCTAATATGGATTCTACTGTACATCGTCCTGCACCTGGTAAGCCTACACCATCAGCAGTCTCCACCTCTGCTCGAGAGTGGCTTGACATGGGGGCCGATCGACAACGTGCCGACTCTGGAACATCTTCGTCACTCGCCTGCACTATACGGCTCCGTGGCTTGCGCTTTGGTACCTCCTACGCTCCTGCAGCCACTGGTCTCCCGACCCAAGCTGATGCCAAACGTGCCGCTAGATTGCTGGTTGCCTGTGGACCCCTTCCTGATCCAGTCAACCTCAAGCCGCGTGCCACCCTGGACCTGGAGACCATGGACTAAGGCAATCGGACTCTGGCTGCACCGCACTAAGGCGCGTGGACCAGCGCGGTGCTGGAGGTCCACCTCCGCCTGCAGCTGTGCGCAGCTCAGCCCGTGCCCTCACTTTCCTGCCACATGCTGCCATGGTATTTTGGCCTTCCACCTTCGGATCACTTCGTGCGACCTCCCTGCCTGTTGGCCTCTTCCGTACCCTTCTTGTCCCAGAGAGCCCGCCACACAGGTACGACCACCGCCGTGTGGCTGCGCTGGCCCCCTCAACATGCTGGCCCGCCCAGGAGACCGTCGTGTCCGGTGGGCTTGTAGACTTAAAGGTCGCTGGGATCAGTTCCACGTCTGGGGGTCTTCCTTTTGGGTAGGGTTCTTGACAGGCACGTCATCACACTGCCGTTGCGTGACCATGCGCTTTTCGTTTGAGTCCGAGTCGTTCATCCTCCTGCAGCCCTTTTGGCAGTGCTCTCACATTAGCCTGACTGGGACATCTTGCACAGGCCTGTTCAGGTTGGAGAAACTTAGCCAGGAATTTAGTCCCCGGGCTCCCGTAACGTCTAACTTGTGGCGTCACACAGTAACCCCGGCCTTTGGATATTTAAGCGCCCCGCCCCTGGGGCCTGCCGAGCTGTGTTTTCGCACTATGCCGCGCCCACGCGGTCGCCGCGGTGGCAAGAACAGGAATAAGAGGGGCCGCGACTTTGAGCGTGAGCGGGCTCGCCCACCGAAGTCTCGACGGGCCGATCTGGCAACAATGAGCTCCGCATCCGCATCCTCAGATTCGGACATGGAACCGCCAACTGGCGAGCCGGCCGCTAGCTCCAGGCATGTGTCGACTCCTCGCCCTGTTACCTTGTATGCTAGGCCGGCTGATTTGCCAGCGCACATTCCGGCCAGAGCGCCTGTGGAGGTAAGCGATGAGGAGGAGGCTTATGTGCCTCATAGTTCAGCCTCCTCGACCCTTTCGACTGGGGGGCATGATCCGGGAGCTGACTTCCCGCCTGAAGCACTCCGCCGTGAATTGCCTCCTGATGAGTTCCTGGCTTTATAGCTTCTCTGATGGGCAGGGACTACGCCACGCCGACGCAGACTGGATACCGAGGTGTGGCTTCGAAGTGGATGGTACCGCGGGCAATCCGAACATCAGCTAGGGCCGATGCCGTTGCCTCTGCTTCTACTAGGGTTATGAGATTATTAGCAGGCTACAGCCTATGAAACTGAAAATAATTATTTTGCGGATATTTTGCAAATTGATTGCATATTTTTTGCACGTCGGGTTTGCATATATTTTGCATGTTTTTTTTGTGTTGCAAATCTTTTGCAAATTTATTGCATATTTTTTGCATATTTTTTGCATATTTTTTGCATTTTTTTGCATCACACGGTTCTGAACCTTGGTGCCTTTGGGCCTTGGGGCCTTTGGGTGCTGGGGCCTTGGCAGGACCTGCCCGGCACGCCAAAAATACGCAAAAAATGTGCAAAACACACTGTGTTTTGCATATTTTACGGGCCGTGCCTGGCCCAGCCGGTGGGCCCGGCACGCCAAAAATACGCAAAAAATGTGCAAAACACACTGTGTTTTGCATATTTTACGGGCCGTGCCCTGGCCCAGCCGGTGGGCCCGGCACCCCTAAAATATGCAAAACACAGTGTGTTTTGCACATTTTTTGCATATTTTTGGCGTCCCTGGGCCCTGGGCCCTGGCAGCAGCCTTGCAACACCTGCGTTTAAACACCCAAAATTACACATGCAAAAAAAACGCAAAAAATATGCAAAACGCAGTGTGTATTGCATATTTTTGTGGCTGTTTTGCATTTAAACACCCAAAATTACACATGCAAAAAAAACACAAAAAATATGCAAAATATTTGCAAAATATTTGCAAACGAAAAAACACATGCAAAAAATACGCAAACGCGACGCACAAAAAATATGCAATAAATGTGCAAAAATAATTATTTTGGAAACCCCCTTGTGTGGCCCTAATAATCTCATAATACTAGGGCGGCTGCTGTGCGCACCGGCTCCGCGCGCGCACGTGGAGGACCTCAGGTGGCTTCTGTGGCTCGTTCCTGGCCTGCCGGTGCGCTTGGACCCAGGCTGACAGTCTCTGCAGAACAACTGCCACCGGTAACCACGCCCGTGGCTCTGTGTTGGCACCGACGCCCAAGGTGTGTGGGCGGCTCCCTGCAGCTATGACCACGGATGCCGGAACCGACCAGGGAAGGATTGCTGCACTATCCCTCTCCACAGAGGGGCCAGACGTGGTGGGCACAGCTTTGGAGGAGCAGGCAGGCGAAGCTGATGCATCGAGCACCGCTGTGGATGCGCCAGTGGTCGACTTGACGCAGACCGACTGGTCATGGTCACCTGGATGCGCTGACATTCCGCCTCTTGTCTCCGAATCCGAGAACCGAGAAATCGAGGCCAGGGCTGTGCTGCACCATCCAGCACCGAAGACTCCTCCGTTCCTAGAGGCAGATCTACTCTGGAGGATAGAACTTAAGCTTCAGGCAGCGGAAGCCATACAGGCCGGTGAGCTCAGCCTACACGGGGCAGGGACGCCACCGTCTGCCTTTCAGTTAGATGAGGACTTGCAAGCAATCAGCGACCGCTATGGGTGCGAGTACATGGCTCTGTGTGCAGTGCTCTACCACATCCCCATAGTAGGCTTGGGCTCGGATCCTCGGGTTTGTGCATTCTGGCATGCACCTTTGCCCCGGTTCCCTACTTCAGAACTCTCGGGGTGTCTCCTTTGGACTTTGGGTTGCCAACGGTGCCCCTGTAACCTTGCCCCTAGATGCCTGCATTCCCCTTCTATCCTTGCAGTGCAGCGCCCACGCCACTGGCACATCCCCACCCTAATGCGCAACCGCATGTTTCAACGTCACCCATGGATGTGGATGCGCAGGATTCGCCACCGGGGCTGGCCGCGCCGGTGCCATGCAGGCCAGCTCGCCCTGACTTGGCACCGAATCGTGATGCACTGCCACCAAGCCCTGGGTCCTTACGTTCTGTGGGTTGCCATAGTGCGTGGCATAGGTCCAGCTGTGCACCGCCGCCTGATGGCAATCTGGAGGCCGGTCCTTCACACACGCTTCCTTCGGTTCGTTGCTGAAGTCGCCGGAGATTGCTACAAGCTCATCTTTTTGTGTTGGCAAGCTGTCACAGGGACACGCACTTACACCCCATGCACACACACACACACATGAGGGTAGGAATGCTCCGTCTAGTAATTGCTCCCCAAGCACCCCAAACTTTAGTGGCCCCCCTGGTCCCAAGTCCAGGGATCACGGCACACCGATGGGATGTGGGCTGCGCCGCCTCATCCTGAGCCTTATGGTAATGCCAGGTCGTGCTGTGATAGACGCGAGGGTTCCTGCATCAGCCCGGGATGCAGGTGGAGCGGCCTCCGCTTCAGGCTGGCACACACGTGATGCCGCAAAGCCATCGGGCAGTACAGTAGCGACGGGCGTGTCGCGTTCTCTTTCAGACCAGACATCGAGAATATGCAAACGCACACTGAAGCGTGCAATTGCGCGCGCCACGCGTGCAGGTGGTGCCTACTACAGGGGGCGATGGCGCTCGGCGCAACAACTCGGTGCGCCTGCAGCTGCCTCGGATGAGCATCCGATGCCTGTCTCTTCCGATCAGGCTCGCCCCCCTAAGCATGCGCCTCCAGACGCAAAGCCGAAGCCCCGACATCTTAAAATTATGACCTGGAATGCTGGTGGTCTTGGTGGGAAGGAGGGTACACTCTTTGATGAATTGCAAGTGTTTGCCAACACACATCCCTTCGATGTGCTGCTTATACAAGAGTCTAAGTGGACGTTCAGCAATACGTGGGAGGATTCTCGATGGTTCTTCCTGCACTCAGGTTCGACAGACCGCGACTTCAAGCAAGGTGGGGTCCTCACTATGGTGTCCCAACGGATCGCCGACCCGGGATCCGTCCGATTTGTTGAGCCGCTGCCGGGGCGCCTTCTGTGGACACACTTTACACACCGCGGGCGACCGATTGACATTCTTAACATGTACCAGCACACGTGGCGTGGGTCAGCCAGGGTAGCCCAACTCCGGCACCGTGCCCTAGATGTGCTCACCAAATCTGTCCAGGCCGTCTCGCTACGCAGCGTTCTGGTGGTGGCAGGCGACTTCAATGCCCAGTGTGACACCAGTCTGCCCCATGTCGGTCCTACGGTCATGCCGCACAAACACTGGTCTGAGGACTCGGGGGAATTTCAGTCGTTCATTGAGGGTAATGACCTGGTTGCCTTGAACACCTTTACTTCTCTCCCTAAGCCTAATCATCGCTACACGTATGTCTGGGGTTCCCAAAAATCTCAGCTGGATTACCTGTTCCTACGGCGTGCCCACGCCACGGGTACCACTAAGCAGGCTAGGGTGCACTACTCCTTTCCCCTAGTGGGCATTCGGGAGGGCGCTCGCCACTTTCCGGTATGCACGCAGGTCCCTATTGATTGGCAACCCTGGCGGCGCCCTCGGGGCCAGCCGCCACCTCCTCAAATTGACCGTCATGCCATTGCCGATGCATTGAACGGCACACCAGATGACAGGATCTCGTCCTTTCGATGTGCAGTGCAGGGTATGCTACAGGACCCCTCCCTTACCTTGGACACCTTGCAAGATCAGGTACACGCCCTCGCGGTACAGGTCTTTCCTGCTCGGAGGCCTACTGAGGTCGACCGGCCGTGTCAAGACAATCAATTGCAGGGGTATGCGGTTCGCATGTGGGCCCACTTTCGGGCTTTCCGCAAGCTTCGGGCACTGGGCTCGTCAGCCCCCCTGTCTGCCATGTTTCGGGCTTGGCACCATAAATCAGCTTACAATCGCATGCGTGCAGCCTCTAGGCACCGTGGGGCTGAATTACGAAAGCAGAAACGCGATCGTCTCTTCGACACCGCCAGGGCTGCTGCGTCCAGCGGTAACCTTCGGGAATTCTATAAGGTGGTCCGCCTGCTTGCGCCCCAGGGCTCACGGAAGCGCTTTCAGCTTTGCCAGGGTCGGGTTCCGTTAACGCCTGAGCGGGAACTGGAAATCATGCAGCAACACTTTGAACAACAGTTCGCATCGCACTCGGAACCCCCCGACCTTTCAGCCACCCTGGAATGCGATGATCCCGTCCTTGTGACGGTTGCTGAGGTCCAGTGGCATCTGGATCGACTGCCGGCACGGAAAGCCGGAGCCCCATCAACCTCACCGGGTGCGGTGTGGCGCTTATGCTCCGATCTTGTATCGCCTGTCATAGCACAGCAACTTTCCGATCGTTGAGCCTCGGGAAACAAGTCAGTGCCTCACTTGTGGACAACAGCCACCCTAGCCCTCCTGCTTAAGGCTGGCAAAAATGGGTCTGAACCCAAACATTTTCGACCCATCGGACTGCTGGACTCATTAGGTAAAGCATGCATAGCGATGGTCATGCGGAAAATCAAATTTGACTTGGAAACCTTTGTACGGAGCGCTCCTCAATTCTCCTACATAGCCGGCAGGTCGACTGAAGACGCGCTTCGCCCCGTCTTCAGTCACTGCGCCGAAGGTCGTCGCCTGCGAACATCCCATGCACGCAACCCTCACCAACGGTTCGCGGGTCTCAAGATCCCCGCCTTTCAAGGCGGCGTCCAGATCTGCTTGGACCTTGCGTCCGCATTTGATATGGTACCCCATTCTCTGGTCCGCGAAGCCCTCCTTGAAGCTGGGGTTGAGGCGGGGCCCGCCTCCCTCCTCCTTTCATGGCTTAGCTCTTGCTCATATGATCTCCACCTTTCGGGTCTCCGCGCCAATATAGTGGCCAGGCGCGGCGTAAAGCAGGGCTGCCCTGCATCGCCCTTGTTATTCGCTGCCTGTACCGTTCTCCTTGCCCGTCGTATCGACCTTCGATTAGGATCGTCGTGGGTGTCTGAACACTTAACCATGTTTGCAGACGATCTACACCTCGCTTCGCTATTCCACTCGGTTGCGGAATTTGATCTGGAGTGCCAGCGCTTGGGGGCTGCGATCACTGTTCTGCGTCAACATGGGCTGATCATTCACCCCTCGAAAGCCCAGGCCCTTTTGACGTGCACCGGCTCACAGGTCAAGCAAACCCGACAACGCTTTGTGAAGCCCCTGACCGCGCCTGCCGAAGGAAAGGGTCTGCGCCTCCGTGCCTCTGGCGAGGATGTTCTCATACCCCTCGCGCGTAGCGCGGATTACCTCGGAGCTGTAATCTCGTATGATTGCTTTTCTGCGCAGACCTTGGACAAGCGTATGGCCCAGGGCCGGACTGCACAAGTTCAGCTGCGCAAGGTGCTCAACGCCCGAAAAGGTCTGCTTCTCACCCAGCGTGTCCTCCTCTGGCGCACCACTGTGTGGCCCTGCCTTCTCTACGGCCTGGGGGCCTGCGGTCTTACGACCGCTCACCTCGCCTCCCTTCAAACACTAGCCCTCAAGCAGCTTCGGGCCCTCTCGAACAGCCCTGCACACATACACCATGAGTCGGACGCCGCCCTCTGCCTCCGTCTTGGTGTGCCCATGCCCCGGTATGCTAGGTAGGCAAATCCCAGGGGACAACTTTGTGTTCGGATCACAACACCCTTGGATCCTCTATCTGGGTTCTTGCTGGGATCCACCACCTTTGACTTCCACTCCTACTAGGCCGCCCCCTTCTGCCTCTGCACACCTGGCTCCCCCACCCGGTCTAGAACAGTTAGAGTCCCAGGATCTATCACTGCCTGCAACCCTGCCTCTCACCGCACTTCCTCCGCCCGGACCGTCCGAGTCCACCCTGGATGCGCCTGAGCCAAGCGAGCCCCTTGCGGGCTCTGCTCTGGTCGCACCGTTCGCTGCCATACCGACGGATCCTCCCGTGGCCAGGGCCTTCCCGTGCGGCCTCTGTGACCGCTCGTTTGATACGCGCAAATCTCTGAAGCTGCATATGGCGCGGTCGCACCAACAGCAGACGGCCACTGTTGTCTTCAATCGTGCTCTGCATGCGGTCGCAGCTCTCCCTACCGGCCCTACCTGCGCCTTCTGCAAAAAGTCCTTTACACGATGGGAGGGTCTTTCATCACACATCACTAACCGTCGTTGCGGGAATTCCCGGAGTCTCTAGCTTTTCTCCCCTCTGAGATAGCGGACCCTCCGCAGCCAGCGCCTGTACCAGCCGAGGTTTGTTGCTCTGAGGCACCAGCCCCACTTTTGACCGACCAGACTGCTGCTGCTGTCATCTCCCCTGTCCATGCACCTGCACGTAATCCCGAGCCCGATCTCCCGCCGATACCAGTTGCTGAGGACGCCTCGGCTCCGCTGGCTGCCGAGGTTGTGAGACAACTGGAAAAAGGTGGTGCCGCAGGACTTTTGAGGTCCACATGCATGAGACTGCTCACGCACTACTGTGGACTCTGTGGGCAGTGGCACGCACATAGTCAAACTCTGAAGCTTCACTACCGCAGCCTGCACAAAGCCGCCTTTGAACTAGACGGGAGCGCACGCCAGCTTGCGCCCAGGCTTGGCGCAGCGTTCAGTCCTTGCCTGTACTGCAACGAATCGCGCACTCACCCTGTTCAGCACATTCGGCACTGCACCGCCCTTTGGCAGGCTCTTCTTCTTGCTCTGCATCATGGGTCTCAGCTCGGAACAGGCCGATCAGCAGATGGAGGAGGCCTTCGGACCGATCCTGAAGTCGTTGCAGTACAAGAGGCCTGCAGCTCCGGATACCGGAGCCCCCTCGCGCGATCCCAAAGCGGCGAAGGGCAAGGACGGCAAGGGTCGTGGACAGAAGTCCGATCCCAAGGGCAAGGGCAAAGGCCGGGGCCGCGGCCGAGCGGGTCGTCCTCCAGAAGAGAGCCAAGCTCCATTCTGGGGCTCCAGCGCTGGTTTCGGCTGGCAACAAGCGGAGGAGGAGGCCGTCCCAGATCTGCAGATGTGTCGCCTGATGGCACGCACCATCGTGGAGCAAGCGGATACGATTGCCGTCCTGCGCCAGTCGACCGCGTGGGTGATGTGGATGCAGACCTCGCCTCCCTCCTTGGTCCCGACTCTTACGTCGACGGCAGCTCTTTGGAAGGAGACTTCCGAGCTCTACGGTCTCGGCCTCCGAGTGGCGCTCATTTGGGCTCTCCTTCGGGTCCTGCGTTCGACCCTGGAGTCCCCCCCAGCAGAGCTGCTGTCGGAGGCGTGCGAGCGGAAGTGGATCGATCAGCAGGGCAACTGGCTCTATCTCCGTTGGAATCGTGCCAACCAGGCTCTCGAGCCGGACGAGAACAAGCAGTCGATGAATCAGACGGATCTCATCACGCTTCTGCGTCAGACCGGCACTCTGGCCGATGGGGAGACGGTCAGCCGGTTCGCTGCAACGCGGCAGCTGGCGGAATCCATGGAGGGGGTGGTAACCTTCAAGGTGGACATTCAGTTCCGATCCCCGCGGGCTCATCAGCTTTACACCAACCTGGAGCGCCTCGCTGGCCTGGCGCCGCTGAACATGCTCGGTCTCTCCTTTCGCAAGGAAAGCTACAAGCGATCGAATGGGATCCAGAAGCTTGCAGAATGGTGTGGCTGAGGCACGCTGTCTGGACCAACCCAGGGAACCTGTGCTACATGAATGCACTCTTCAGGTGCCTTTGTTGGGCCCTCGTGGGCTTCCATGGGTGGGAACAGGCCACCTCTAGGTTAGGTGTTGCGGCCGTGCGCTCTCTCTCCCTGCGTAATGCGCCCACCTGCCCCTTTGATCTTCGCGGTTGGAGGTCTCTACTGACGAGATGGACGAATCCCTCGGATCAGCACGACTGCGCAGAGCTCTTAGCCCATCTGGCCGAGCGGTTCCGCTCCAATCTACTCTTCGGGGTTTGGGAAGCTAGGATTCTTGAGGCTGGGGTTTTTGGGGTTGTTGACACGGGATCCTGTGACTGCACAATAGGCCTTGACCCCCCTGCCCGTGCCAATGCAGACCTACAGGCCCTCATCGGAGCTTGGAGTACCCAACACAGCATGCATGCACTGCGATACCCGCCCCAGGTGCTGACTCTCCGCATCGCGCGGTACAGGCAAACCCCGACCGGAGCCACTGTCAAGAATCATTGTAGTGTCGCATGGTCCCACTTCATCAGTGTGCCTGCCTTTTCAGACGATGCACTCGGCATCACGCACCTTCGATATCGCATTTGCGCTGTGATCTATCATGCCGGTGCTGCTCTCACCTCTGGGCATTATACCTGTCTAATCATGGCTGATGTTCAGGCTTGGTTTTGCGATGACGGGGCTATGCCTGTCCCTCAAGCCTGCTCCGGTAGTGGGTTCGAATTCAGGTCCGATCAGGCTTATCTCTTCTGGGCAGTCCTGGAGCCTGCAGCGCTCAATGATGAAGTGCGGCTGACATCTGGCTGTCAGCCTCCGCCCACCTTGGTTGCCTAAGGTCATCCTGGGCGCGACGGCGCCCACTCGGGGCAGCTACTGAAGGTACGCGCCTCGATTTTACATCCACACCGAAGCAGCGTCGCCCGCGATGCGCTAAATCCCCGAAGCCGAAAAAAAAAACTGCACTTTCCTGTCATCGCAACCGCTGCGTCGCTAGCACCGACGCGCGCGCCTTATGGTACCACCCTTTTTGCCTTAATTTTGCCTGACTCTCAGGTGGGGGACGCCCATCCTGGCTCGCATCGGCAGCTGCTCGATGTGAGTGCAGACCGGCAGGGTTTGACCGATCACAGCACGGAGTGTGTGGCGACACGGGATGCTGACATGCCATACTGCCGTACGGGTATGTAAAGTGCATACAGGTGTCCGCGATTGCACTGCCAACCTAGCAGCCACACGGTCCTCCTGGGATCCATACCTGATGTTCTGTGTGCCTTTCGTGTTGCGCTCCCGCAGCGCACGCACCCATAAACCCATTAACTCACTAATGCAATGCATCAATGGGCCTGCGGCATAATGGTGGCACCTTCTGTAGTGTACTCACA